CCCGCTGAATCGATTCTTTCTTCATTTTTTGTGAGTAGCAGTGAAATGTTTACAAAATACAAATATAACACAGACAACGCTGGATAGGTTGTTTTTGTGGGAATTGTGTGTATAATAATTCATTATGACAAATTTTGTTTATTTTCGATATTAATAACTGAAAATGATAGAATGATAGATATAAATAAATAATCAAATCAAGAGAACAGAATTGAAAAGAACACACGTCCAATTCAATCTTTAAAAATCTGCTAAATTGCAGCAAAATTTTATCGGAACTGCAATTAACGTTAGATCAGATACACTCTCATTGGTTCAGCGCTCCAACAGACAATACTTGTACGTCCAAAGCTACGTAGTCCATATTTTTGTAAATGTAAGCTTTTTCACAGATTTCTGAATCAAAATTAAAATTAAAATGGAATGAATTCTGCAAATATCAAAAACTTTGTATTTGTAAAATATGTAGAAGAAATTAACTTAGTTTGAATTATTTTTTATTATCAAAAAAACAATTAGTGTTTTCTGAGAGAAGATTATGGAATATTCTGCCTTAGGCAAAGAGTGTATTCATACAGACATCTTAAATGATACAGACACCAATGAGAACCATTTATACTTTTTACAAATATGTACACATTTATTTTCATATGGATATGTAAATTGTTTAAACTAAACTGCTGCTAAGTATTATTATTATTATTTGAATTTACATCTCAGCGTGTGTTATTGCTGGGATTCACATAATTCCGGATGACAGCATCAAGGAAATTATGCTCTGTTGAAGTGTAGTCCATGTTCTACATCTATTAAATTGTGTTGCTCCTTCTAAAGAATGTTGATCGTTTCCCTCACTATTGCACATGTATGCAACAAGGCGTATTTCTGCATAGTATTTATTAGAAGTTTAGAGAGTTCAAGTATGTCCATAGAGTGTGTGAGGGTTTTGGGTACTAGAACAGTGACTGATAGTATTATTGGTACAACAACCACTCGCTGAAGTCTCCAAATTTCTTTGATTTCCCTAGCCAGTGGTATGTAGTTGCTCATATTTTCTGCATACTTCTCCTCAATGTTGCCATTATGCGGAATAGCAACATCAATCAGGTACGCTGAATCATTCCTTCTATCAGTCCTTCTACCAGTAGGATATCAGGCTTATTATGTGTTATTAGTCGATCTGTGTAAACTTGTCGATCCCAGTACATACAAAAATTGGTGTTTTCTAGCACCGCAGTGGGTTTATATTGGTAAATTGGACAAGTTATAGAGATCAATCCATGCTTGAATGCAAGATTTTGGTAGATTACCTTACATACTGCATTGTGCCTGTTTAGATATTCCCTTGGTGCCATTACAGAGCAGCTGGAGATAATGTGATCCAATGTTTCTGAGACTGAACCACATTTCCGACACAAGTCATCCTCAACTCGTTCTTTAAGAATATGATTGCGATAATTACGAGTAGAAACCACGCCATCCTGTATCGCGCACACAAAACCTTCAGTTTTTTTGCTGGTCAGGCACCACCAAATCTAAAGGACAGAATACTCTGTTCTTAGTTTAGTGCCATACAAAACCAAAGAGGACTCAGCGAGTCTCCTTGAAAAATACCTCTTCTGATTTGTATGACGTCTGATAACTTAACGCCATCAGCCGTAGGTACCCATAATATGGTACTGCACCCTTTCATTATTACCGTCAAAAGTGTGATTAACTCAGGATCTATGCGGTATAGGCGTAAGACATTGATCAGTCAAGAATGTGGGACACTATCGAATGCCTTAGCATAATCAATAAAGCAACTAAATAGGTTTCTTTTTGTTTTTACTGCCTGTCCTACTGTTATCGTATCGATTATCAGTTGTTCTTTGCATCCCTTTGAACCACTTCGACAGCCTTTTTGTTCTTTGATCAATATATCATTAACATCTAAGTGCGCATATATGCTTTTGCTAATCACCGACGTAATGAATTTATAAAGCGTCGGCAAGGAAGTGAGAGGCCTTCTTTCCGCTGAACAGTCAACTCTCCGGCCTTTTTATTAGATTTGTTATAAGCCTTGCAAGTTGGTTATGAACACATCGAAACTGATTGTACCAGAAATTCTGCACTTTTTCCAAGCCTGGCGCTTTCCAATTACTAGATCTTACAATGGTTTCCCGTATTTCGTTCTCAGTTACTTCCATAAGTCGCATTGTGGCAATACTTGCATAACGATTATGTTCGGAATCTATCCACTCTGTATGCAGAACATGGACTTTAGATGATTCCCACAATGCACTCCAAAAGTTCTTTGCTTCTGTAACTGAGAAAGATGCATGTTGTCTAGTGTTGTCAGTTGAACCAAGTGTAGAGAAGAATTGACGTTGATTTTTAATATACATAGAGTGCTGAACACGTCTTCGAGTCGAATGCGGTTCCTGGTAGAAGCTGGAATCTTCTTGCTTCGCGCAATGAAACGGTATTGATCTGGGACTCTCTGAACAGTGACATGCGAATATTGGGGAAAACGTTCAACAAATTTTTGATGTAGCATGAGACGATATGATGTTAAGTCCTCCCCTCGAGAATAAATGAGGACTGCCAATCAAACAATCAAACAGATTTAATGAGAAAAAAGGACTGTCATTTGCGTTTTGCTAAAAAAGTTTCATATGCAATTTTTAACCATTTTCTCAATGCATTTAAGATTGCAATCTGGTGTAGCAGAGTTCTTTTATTAAAGGTAATGAAGTTTGTTATTGAAAATGCATAGATTAAAAAATTTTCAACCTCTACGTGGTAGGCACCTTGTCGTGGTGTAGGGGCTTAGATACAACTTGAGCTATTCTGATCAATATTTCAGTCAGTGTTATCACTGATGTCACTGACTGGAATGTTGATTGAGATTAGAGCAAGAAGTGCAACCAAGATCTACCAGTAGGTTAAGGTAGAATGTGTTGTTTTGTAATCTATGTTTGTAGTGATAGTAATTAGTTATAAATTTGTAGTTAATTTGTTGTTTGTAGTTTGTAGTTTGTAACCTTGTAGTCCGTGTAGTAGTTAGTTTGTAGATAGGCTCTTTGTTTTTGCAAGCTGGCAAAGTCTGAATGGCTAAACAATACTCTAGCGTCTCAGGGAGTAGGTGGCGGTAAAGACCGTCCACTAAGTTCCAGCTTATCAGCCAGACTCGTAAGGGTAAGTGCGACAATCTCTCAGGCTGATGGGAAGCTCTTGATATGGTCATGTCTCTGCCAAGGGTGGACTGCTGATTGTCGGGCTGGAAAGAGAAAACTTCCCGGGTACGTATTTATAGTAATATTTGTTTTGATATGTGTAGCTTTCAAATTTGTACGATACCTATAAAAACCCCCAAATCTGAGGTAGACTGTTACGCCGAGGATGCTTGACTGGAGGGGTGCATCCAGTCTTTTAGTAATGAACTCAGGATACCGGGCACTCTCCTGTTTTAATTAATGCCTTCTCAAAGGATGGGGCTCTGCTTTGGGTGACTGTTCTTTCCCTTATATTAAACACTGTATATGGATAATAAACTAAATATACCAATTAATAATATAATTACAGAGTCAGAGGAAGAAGCTCTACTCCGTTCGCCAACGAAGGTTGGAGGAAATCTTGAAAAGAGGCTTGAAGCATCTCTCAAGATTCAGGATCTGGATGATCTGAACCCATCTGCTCAGAGACCAATGGTATCAAGCGGTGGGAACACCTCTCCGGTGATTGACACCTAGAGTCCTATGGACACAGGTGACCACGATGGCGGTGCGTCTAATGCTAATACCCAGAGCATGGTGAACTCAGGTGACGGCAACATAGAGACCAGGAAGAAAGCGGAATACTTCACCGGGGCTCAGAAAAGACGCA